TGTGGCATACCTGCCAGAGGTTGGCTCCCACTGCATTAGCATATCCAGAAGGAATATTGCAGTAGTCTCTCATATAACAGCAATTAGCAGAAGTGCAAACAAACTACAACTGCATTGTATGAATCCCAAGAGTCATTAACAAAGTCCCCACATATGCGCAGTGCACTAAATCCTAGTTTCATAGTTGGCAGGGTCAGAAGGGACCTGAGCAGATCATCAAGTCTGACCCCTTGCCATGGGCAGGAAAGGATGTTGGGGTCAAATGACCCCAGCTAGGTGATTATCTAGCCTCCTTTTGAAGACCCCCAAGGTAGGAGCAAGCACCATTTCCCTTGGAAGTTGGTTCCAGATGCCAGCTGCCCTGACTGTGAAGTAGTGCTTCCTGATGACTAGCCTGAACCTACTCTCAGTCAACTTGTGGCTGTTATTCCTAGTTACTCCTGTTAGTGCTCTGGGGAACAGGGACTCTCCCGTTCCCCAATATTTATATGTAACCCTGCTTTCACGTTCATTGTTCCTACAAGTGCCCATCCAGCTAGTCTCTCCCTTTCCAATATAAACCAGTTTTAATACCTACTATAATCTAGAAGTACTTGTATCAGGCACAGCTATTGAATCCCTGTCCTTCTTTGTTGTTGCTTCAATATCTAAAGAACAGTTTTCTAGGAGAGCAAGTTGCTTAATTAGTTTTCTTAAATTTATGTATTAGGATTGTTGTGTTTTTGTATGTTCTTTTCTTTTAATTTTTCAGTAAACAATTCAATCCAGACAAGAATTTTAATTAGTTTTTCTTCTGTTATACATCTGTTTTTTGCTAGAACTCCTATTTGACTGAAAGAAACAAGGAGTTGTACATATCTATGAATTTTTAAAATCCTATTTTATAGCGGGAAATAACTCAATGAGAGGAGGGAGCTTGGCAAAAGAAAAATATCTAAGTGCATTTCATGAAAGAAGCAGAAGTGACAGCAGCAGGGATTCACTGCAGTTCATAGCAGTATGGATTTTTTAAAATAATTTTCTCAAGACCACACCCAATGACTCAGATGTCAACATTCATAATGTGTTGCCTGTAGTCTGACCTTCCAGCACAAACACTTACCTGCAAGCAACAGCTAGCGAACTGAAGATCATTCATTGTATACTTACAAATTCATACCATCCCTGTCTCTGCTGGAAAAGGGAATAAAACCTATGCTTTACAAGATGTTAATGAGCTTTGTTTTGTAAATAGTTATAGTATGCTGATAGTGTAGAACTGCGTAATAGGAACAGGCATTTACACAAACAACAAAACAGGATGGGATATATACTACTTATGTTTGAGGCATTCGCGGTCTCCTTATCCATAAAGGGTATCTCCTGACTGATGTATGAGTCACTCTTTGTTAAGATCTGGATCTTATTTTTTCTTTTTCATTGCCTACTGAATGTGATGATGATGATGATCTTTCCTGGTATTTCTCAGCATCTGACAAGCAGTACTGCATCAGATTTGCCACTGGTGTGAACTGGTATAGCCCCACTGACTTCAGTAGATTTTATGCCTGTTTACACCAGTTAACAATCTGGAGCAGTGAGTTAGCTGCTGTTTATGTCATGACTGTGAAGGAATCTGCAGCAATCATCATCTCAACAATAGCTGCAGCATGGACAGGTGGACTTGTTTCACTGTGGGGGGCATTAGTGATGGTCTTGGTGCTTCTCTTTTTGAAATCTTTCATTTGCCTCTTGGATAGCTACCATAGAATGGTTGTCCCTAATGGAAACACCTATGGCTGATGCCTCAGCCTAAACTGCACTGCAGTATTATAGAATCATAGAATCAATGAGTCGGAAGGGACCTAGACAGATCATCTAGTCCGACCTCCCGCCATGGGCAGGAAGGAGCACTGGGGGTGGCAGGGGTCATAAGATCCCAGCCAGGTGCCTATCCAGTCTCCTCTTGAAGATTTCCAGGGAAGGTGAGAGCACCACCTCTCTGGGAAGCCTATTCCAGGCTCTGGCCACCCTTACAGTGAAGTAGTTCTTTCTAATAGCTAACCTAAACCTATCCTCCCTCAGCTTGTGGCCATTGTGCTGGTGACTCCAAGGGGGGCCCTGCTGAACAGACTTTCCCCAAGTCCCTGCTGGTGGCCCCTGATAAAGTTGTAGGCAGCCACAAGATCCCCCCTCAGTCTCCTCTTGCGGAG